AGAAGAAGAAGAAGAAGAAGAAGAAGAAGAAGAAGAAGAAGAAGAAGAAGAAGAAGAAGAAGAAGAAGAAGAAGAAGAAGAGAAAAAAGTGATTGCTAACATGGTTACATCACAGGCATTCCCGGACCTGGCCGCCGCGCTGCCGCCCAAACCCATCCCTAAGACCATCCCCAAGATTGCGCCTCCGAACAAGCGCTTCATGGAGATTAGCACTCCAGGCGAATTGCGCCTCGGCGAGGTGCTCGATCTCTTACGCGACTATCGACGGCTTGCGGGGGCGCTGAAGAATCTAGACGCATTCGAGGATAAATAAAGTGCCATCTTCTCCCTTTGATCTCTCTTTCTCCCCCCCCTCCTCTCTCTCTCTGATCTATCCATGCTGCGCACAAACGGAGGGTATGCAAAGTGTGTCTAGACTAACATGTACATCTCTGACGACAATACTAGAAGCTTTTCTGTTTGCTACGTGCGGGAGTCTTTGACATCAAACTGGGTTTCAATATAGCAACATGCTCGATCGCCATTCAAGAAAGCCTGCGTTGTTTCTTAATATAAACAGATTAATCATATTGTGTAATTTACATCTGGCTAGTATGTACTGGTGGACAAGGTACTCTCTGATAAGCCAAGGTCAAGAAGCGCCTCCTGTTCCCAATGCAAGAAGAAAGAAATGAACAAATAAAAAGAACACCGCTAGCTACCGTCTATAAGAAACCCGCCAGGTTTACGTCTGCAATCGCGCTGTTGCTATAAAATAACGCCAAGTGACAGCAAAGTCTATAATGAGAATGGGCGTGTAAATGAATGAATAAGATGGAACCGCTATGGCCTCCAAGGAGTACGCTGACTCGTTTCAGCGCGCATTGGCTGCATTTGCTTCGACGATTGGCCACTGGCCATTCGCTCCAGCGCCTCTTCCGTGTCTGCCTGTGGCGCTGTGTATGTGCGATTGCGCTCCAAAGTCAGCGCGTGAGACTCGTTGGATCGACTTCGCTGTCGCGCAGGACCGGGGTCACGTTGGACCACGGGACCGGGGTGTAAGAACTTGGCAATGATGTTGGAGTCTCTACCTCTGCTCATGGTGCGCCCGCGCGCAACACTTGGTAGTCTCTGAAGTCCTGTAGTTGTCGCTGAGGGCGCTGTGCCCATACGTGCCAGAACTGCTTCCGCTTCCTCAGCCTCCTTCTTGAAGCGCGCCTCGCTAGGGAGAAGCACAGCCTTGTCCAGGCCATACGGCAAACCACGGTGACGACCACGAATCTGCAAAGCAGCGATGATGAGCTTGCCAACGACGGAGAACTGACTGCATAGAGACGCGTTGACGCCTACAGCACCCATACTCAAACCAACAGTGCCGTAGGCACTGACAACTTCAAACAAGACCGAAAACACGTCAAAGCGCTTGGCTTGAATTTTCGAACCCTCCGAGATGCAGAGAATGAAGAAGCCCAGGAAGACAAACCACAGATCGAAAGAGAGCTGTCGGCGTAAATGGGTGCCAACATAAGAGAGAGCGCTCGCTTCCTGCTCCGCGCCTTCATTGTTGTCGTATACACCCAGAGACTTTTCTTCGTATACGTTGGTTCGGCGAATGGAGATGGCGATGGGAAAGACGGAAATATACATCATGATCATGTACATGACAGGCATGGCCGGATGGAGCTCAGCTAGACTGACAGCTGAAAAGCCTGCAGTTCTCGTTGAGGCAGCTTGAAAAAGTCCAACGACGACCCTGTTGTGAAGAGGCAGCTGGCTGATGGGCTCCTTGCCCAGATCCAAGACAATGAAGAAGAGCAAGTCTATTGCGTTGAGCGAAATGAGAATCCAAAATAGCCACCAATTTGGTCCGGACGGGAAAAGAAGAGTGAAGCACCGACGAGGATGGTCCAGAAGGAACTTGAGCTCCTCCCAAAGGCCGGAGCGTCTCGGGACAATCTTTGTGAGCACCCAAATGATGAAGCGCAGCATGATGGGAAAGCCAGTGTTGCCGAGAATGATGAGAAAACACATAATCATCAAAACATACTCGGACTTGACGAAAGAGTTCATGCTGTCAGGTGTCAAGGTAAAGCCAACATCCATAAAGCTGACATTGGGAGTGAAGAAGCCCCACCAGATTCTGGAAATGCCATTGCCCTCAACAATTTTGCCATAGTACTCGTTGTGCAGAATAAAGGGTAGCAGTGTCACAAGACCGAAAAGTTGAAAGCCCCAAAAGTACCCGAGAAGAACAAAAGCAAGAGTTCGTAAGGAGCGGTATTCGATACCTCCCAGCTCTTCACGCTGCTCAAGCGTAAGGCCGACAAAGTTGGAGTTTCTGGCCATGGTTGGGGTGTAACTGAGATATGGCATGTCTTCAACCTTGCCCGAATCGCGGTGCAAAGCTGATCGAATGCGTTCCAGCGTCCAAGTGCGTGTAGGTCTGGGCGGTTGTTCTTGTTCGCCTTCGTGATGTGTGCTTTGTCCGCTTCTATTGAAGATGCGTGGCTTTCTAAAGCGGAAAGCGTCGAGAGCGCCCGTGAATGCCTTGACATCGTCCGACAACTCCTCTTGAGGTCGTCGTTCAGGCTCTGCAATGGTGATGGTTGGATGGCGGCCGCGAAGACCCTGATATGATCCTTCGGCTTGAGATGGTTTTGAATTGGAATTGCTGTTTACTCGAGTGGCCCGAGAACCCAGATTTTCGTCACGTTCGAATTCCTCCAAACGAGTGGGCACCTGTCCTCGTTCAATGTCACGAGGACCAGGAATACGAAGAACATCGTTGTCATCCTCGTTGCGCTGCCGCTCCAGAATGGCAATGTGCTGGGCGTTGGGACGTCTCTGAGTGAACGCTGTGGCGTCTTCTTCTAGACCATCACTTCTTTTGACAGTATCAGCAAAGGTGATGGCTGTGGGGCCATGCGTGTGCTCTCCCGCGCTGTCAGCACGAGCATGCAGCTCCGCAACAGGAGTGGCAGTTCCATGCGTTGACGGCAATCCATCGTCACTATCTTGGGTATGATGCGAGTAGCCTGGCGTAGCTGTAATTGGACTGTCAGTTGCGGTGGTAGTAGTACTACTATCCTCGTTGCCGCGATGAGCAGGATCGGGAAGCGCAATGCTTGCGCTGTCAATGAGAATACCATCATTGGTCATCCGCTGAGCCTTGCCATTGGCTGGCACCACAGTAATATGACGGCCATTGACACCCTCTTCGGCTCTGTGCACCTCATTGGCAGCTTGGGATTTTGACTTGGTCAGATTGGGACGTCGGCTGCGAACCTCACGGACCCACCCTTGAAAACGCTTCTCGAACCAGTAAATGCGCAAAAAGACGACTGATCCGTGAAGTGTGATTGGGTTGGACATCATGACGAGGACGTATATGACGACCTGTTGAAAGGTGGTGAGAAGGTTTACGTCCACTGGATTCAGACCGGCTTGTGTGTTTGCGCCGCTGGCAAAAAGCAGGGCGTCAATATAAGCTAGATGGCCTTTGCCACCAGCGTAGATGCATATTGAGCCGATAATGGTAGCGCCAACGATCCAAAAGTAGTGTGTGGTGATGAAGTTGAAGTGGGGGTTCTTGGACACAAAGGCGGGCTTGATAGCCTTGAGCTGCGCCCAGACATTGCTGCGAAAGTTGTCCAGCATTGCTGCGGGCGAGACTGAAGTCGAGAATATGCAGAGGGGTGAATGCGTAGCGTAGACGGAATGACAGCCAAGGATATGCTTGTGGTCGTTTACTGGGCGGCCAAGTAAAGTCGTGGTACCAAAAGGATCTAAGCCAAAGTCCAGTCAAGAGACAGGAGAGTATGAGCAAGGGCAAAAATCATGATTGATTTGGGCGTATCCGTATATAGTAGAAAGCTGTGACAATGCGCACGAAGGGCCGCGGCTATGAGAGTAACGGTTGAAAATTTGACTGTCCAAGGTGAAAAGCGGTAGTTTCGTTGGAAACAGACGAAGACAAGCAGATTAAATATGACGAAGTGGAAAAGCTGCGCGCCACAGAAGCACAGCCGTAAGTAATCAAATTGTACTTGAATTCTGTGTTCGTCGAGACGGTGGGCGTTGGCGTCCAGGCGGTCTTCGGTTGCGTTATTCAGGGAGTCGCGGCTGCCACTGGAAAAAAAAAAAGACCCTTGTAGGGCAGGCAAGGATGGACCGTCGAATGGACGGGTTGCAAAGCCGGCACGTTTTCCGGAAATGGTGACACAAGGTCAAGCCGCTGCAGGTCTAGGCCAGGATGCGTAGAGACAAAAGACAGGCTGATAAATTTTTGGAGGTCGAGACCTAGGTTGTGGCGGGAAAAGGAGAGCAGATCGGAACGATTAGGCTATTCGTAGGTAGATAATGGTCAGGTTCGAGGTTTGTCGGAATTGCGCAACGCAAAGGAGGATGTGTCAACCGGCAGAGGTGAGGCAGGCAGTGCAGACCTTGGCGATTGTGGGTTGTGTCGCTGTGTCGCACCTTCAGCGCCACTGGACTCGGGCAGGAGATGTTGACCGATTGTGAACCGAAGAATTCGGCCCAAGACAACAATCAATGGATGACGAGATAAAAATAAATGGGAGTTTGAGACAGTGTGCCCGAGGGACCGGGACCGTGGACCGGGAAGACCGTCCCAATACAGTGATGCAATACTAGTGTGTCTGCAAGGATGTGGAATTGGAGGGCGGGTGGTGGTGGTGGTGTTCAGGGTCGTGGTAGTGGTCGTGGTGTCGATAGTGGTGTCGCGGTGGTGTCGCGGTGGTGCGATGATGGCTGTGTTTGTAGGCTCGGTCAGAGACCGTGGCGGGCGCACCGAGGGTCCAGATAGCAGATGCGGTCGGCAGTCTCAAGATGAAGCGTGGCACAGACAGAGTGAGCAGGATTGTCAAAAATGTCTACTCCGTGCTCGGGGCCAAATCTGAAAGGTCGTGCCGTTGGGCTGGATCTGGTATGCGACAGGCGCGCAGATGGTAGCGGAGCCGATGCACAAGCAGGGTGCGCCGGCGAGACACGATGAGAAAGAGTGAGATTGAGGGAAGAAGAGGGTGGGATAAGAGAGCAAATATAGGTCAGAAGAATGGTACGGCTAGCCACCGAGGCAGCTTTTACGTGGCCGCCCGCACGTACGGCGAATCAGGGAAAGGTGAATTGCTTTTGAGGAGGTGAAGAAAGATGAAGGACAGGATTTGAGCGTTTGCAAACAGGGACTTTGGCGGGTAACGGGTTGGCGGGCGGATGGGCAGTTTATGGCGCGGCTTATTAGACTACGATAGTTGTTGACTGGTAGCGTTCGTTAGCGTACCATAACGTAGGAATTATTAGACTTTAAACGGCTAGCTCAACTTTGTCGTATCTAAATACTGGTAGACCAGCACGCTGGGAAAAGGGACACGCTAATTACATGGTAGTTGTGAAAAATTGAAAATTAAACTGAACCCGACAATGCTGGCAGGCTGGTTGTGGCGGGCTGGCTGCCTCCGGGATGCGCGAGGCAAACGGCCGGGCTGCAAGCGAAATTTGCCACCAAAAAAGCGGCCCTGCCTGCTTGGTATTATGATCCCGAAAAATAGTATAAAATCAAACCACGCCTTAATTATACTATCGTGACAAAAAAAAAAGCATCGGCGCGATTTCAAGTGCCGTGCTGCAAGCTAGCATTCAGCATTCAGCCTTCAGCCTCTACTTGGTAGCCTTTCAGCGCTACTGTGACTTGCCGTGCAGCCACCAATATCTATGATAAAGGATGTAACTCACTGTATGAAACTGAATATGCCATTTCTCGTGACACTACTGTGGCTGCGCCAATTGCTCATCAGCGCCTCTTTCAGCGCGTGGCGCTCTCGACGCCACATCAAGCATGCTCTGTACCGACTCACTTCCAACTCATCAACAGATCACCGCATTTCTCGCCCTTTTTCACTCGCTCTGACTCGTCCCCGATGAGCAGCCATCATGGTGCTTCCACTACCCGTTGCCCCCCCTTTTTAATCGCTCACCTTCAGAGTTGCGCGACCGTCGCTGCGGCTTCGCTTTACTCAGCCCTGTACATAACTTGCTGGTCCACTTACAAGCGTCAGGCCCATGGCCAAAACCTTCTTTTTATCATTCTGTAATTTTGTTTCAACAGGGTCTGCATCACCTGCTAATCCGCGGTCTATTATTGGCAGGAGACCCTGTCGTCGCAGCTGTATATGCAGCCGCTTAAGGCGGCCCTTTTTTAATTCGAATAGCGCCTGTTGATTTGTTTGTGCCATCGCTCTTCGTATCAAATCACGGCCAAGGGGGAAATAGCTAGACGCATTTTGTTGTTTTGGAATCATCGCAATGGTCTTCCAGGCTTATACTTGGGCGGTCTTTTACGTTTTCTTACCTGAATCAGTGATTCATCCTTGGCATGCCTCCCTCCGCCTGCCATGGCCGTCCTACTGATCCTGCTACGTTGGCCAAACTACACAGCAGCATTAGATATTTAAAGGGTAAGTAAAGCACAAGAATGCTAAATTTTGGAGAATCCAATGATCTAGAAAAGCCCGTACTCCCGTGAGCTATGATGCACGTCCCTCGTCGTACATGGCGCAGTGCCATGCAAGTCAATCACATCACCCTGCTGGGCTATATCATAACAGGCATTCCGCATATGAGAGCACGTTGTCTCCTGAGTCCTCACTGAAGACGACTCGACGGTCCAACAAATGGGAGAAGAAATCATAACACAAGGAAAGAAAAAAAAAAGAAAAAAGAAAAAAATTTGGCGGGCCAGGCGGTAATCTGCACGGCTGAACATGCTCAGATCAGTTTATGCACCGTCGCATAATTATTTGATCATTCGATTTAGGTAGCCGCGCTAGCCCAGCTTTTGCATCGGCCCATCTACGCCAGATTCGCAGAGCCTCGTCGTCGTCGCATCCAACCAACCATGCCAGCTCATCACGACCAGCACGACCACCCAACCCACCCTTTAAGCCTGTCATGCGACCCTCTCTCCCACACCAGAATAACGCCAATCAGCACATCGAGAGCGGGAAGAAGAAGAAAATCAGCCACTCGCCGGCTTCAGATGACGTGGGCGCAACGACGGCCGCAACTTGACAACTTTGCGTACCGGGGGCTCAACGGCACGCCGTAGAAACACGTGCCCTGTCCGACGGGGAGATTTCAAAGGCGACAAGAAGAAGAGGAGAAAAGAGACAAACAACTGTGTGTAAAAGAGTGCACCCTGTGAGGCCCTTTTACCCACATTACGCGATGTATACGACTGGCACCATAGTGTGCAGTTACGCTCAACAGCGCCGTGAGCCCAATCCAAAAATAGAGGCGAGCTGGGAACAAACCAGGGTCTGGATCAAGCGTTACTCGCAGGCAGACGCAGATAATGAACAGCAAAAGCGAGACATCACCGTGACTCCACAATAAGCTTGTGCAGTGCCCAATTTCTGCGCATCACACTTCATTTAAGATTTGAATTTCTATCAAGATTTTTCTTTTTTCTAAAATACAAAGTGGTTTTATTGATCAACCCGCTGAATAGCATCGTCAAATCTGTTGTATACAATGCCTCGCTGGTAAAGAAGTGAAAGGAAATAGAAAAGAGATGGAAACCCCCCTATTCCAAGGGTATCAAGAGCAGAATACATGGAACTGGCTGTCTGCATAATTGCAGTAGCCGCAGGATGGTAGCATAACAACCCGTGCTAAGAAAACGCCAAATACAAGCAACCTGTACCCCATGCTGTCCTTATTCATGTCGTCTCGACAAGTTTCTCTCATTCGCCCGCGGCCCGGCGAACATTTTCCCTGTTGATCTTCTTGAAGAAAGCATTACTTTCCTTCTTGCCCTTCTTCTTGAGGCCCTGGTTGACCTTCTTGTTCTGTTCAATGTACGCCATGTTCTGGCCACCGCTGAGCTCACCCAGTGTGCCGGCAGTTCGCCGCACTCGCTTCTGGGCGCGTCCCATGGTGCCACTGTGGAACAAGTCGTCTGTAATGTCCTCATCCTCTGCGCCCTCATTCTCTACCAACACCTTTTGCAGCAGCTCTCGACGCTCTGCTGCAGTCGCAAACGCCAGCCCTGGCGTCTGCTCGATGTTGGCCAGCTGCGTAATGACCTTGAAGGCATAGCCCTGGTCGACCAGAAATGCCTGCCTTTTCGACGAAAAGAACATTTCTTGCGTGTCTTTGGACACCAGAGAATAGAAGAACGCGTTAAAACCTTCGTCGTTGCGTCGTTTCGCTCGCAGAATCCGCCCTAAGCGCTGTGCTTCTTGACGTCGTGAACCATAATGCGATGAGATCTGGATAAGGCAAGTGGCCTCGGGCAAATCGAGCGAGGTATCGCCAATCTTTGACAGGAACAGTGTATTCACCAGCGGATTGTGCTGAAAGTTTTCCAATACTTTGAGTCGCTCTGCTTGGCCCGTCCCGCCATAGATGAAGGCTTTGCCAAGTTTAAGCGCATAAGCCTTGAGGGCATAGACATTATCTGAGAAGACAATGATCTTGTCTCCACGAGACTCGTGGTAGTTGATGAGATATTGACACGCCTGGAACTTGCGCGGGTTCATAATGTAGAGCAGATTCTTTTTACGGGAGGGAGCACGGAGATATTCATCGTAGAACTCTGTGGGCATTGCGCACCAGACCTCCGCACACTGCACGCGAGCAATATGCCCTTGCTTTGAAAGCTCCATCCAATTGGCTTCGAATAGCTTCGGACCGATGAGGAAATTGAGATCGGAAATCTTGTCATCTTCTCGTAATAATGTGGCCGTCAGCCCCAACTTGGAATGCGTCTTGATGGAAGAGGTAACCCTTCTGAAGATATTGGCCGGCACAACGTGCACCTCGTCGAGCAACATGAGACCCCATTCTCTTCCAGTCAAGAATTTCATCATCTTTTCCGCATCATATGACCGCGCTCGCGATTGTGTGACCATGGAGTAGGTAGTAACGATAACACCAGTACTGCCTGTAAAAACAGAGCCTTTTGAGTCGGACGTGAACGCCACAATATCATCCGGATTAATATTGGACCACTTGAGAAATTCGTTTCGCCACTGCACGACCGACATTGAACTTGTGCAAAGCACAATGATGCCCTTCTTGATCGTACACGCAGCTGTAATTCCAACCAAAGTCTTACCGGCACCACACGGGAGGACAATGAGTCCACTCTTAGCTCTACCGTTGCCGAACATTTTACTAAGGCTCTTTTCTTGGTAAGGTCGGATTTGGGTACCAGGTCGAAGATCGATATCAAGATTTGGATTTGCCTCGTCATGTCGGAAATCGTACTCCTCCAAGACTGGGTAGCCAAGGTTGAGACATTCTCTTTGCACTGTTTCAACGTCCTTGTCCGCAATCTCGAAGGCATGTGTGACTTCTTGATCGTCATCATCGTCGATGTCTATTCTTGTCGTTGGTTGTTCACTCTCGCTTGCCTGAAGTCCATTGGCTTGTTTCACACCCGCAGCATTCTTAGTGCCAGGAATGACCAACCCCCCAATTTTGGGTGCTGCCGTTGTTGTGATCTCTGCCGTTCCTTGAACGCGCAGTGGCCCGATTTTCGGATTTTTGAGCAGCATTTGCAGCATCTCCGGGTCAGGGCTCTCGACAAAGTACTTGGTATCTTTCAACACAAGCTTGACTTTGCCATAGGTTTGCGTGCAGCTGGTGATAAACGCCCGAATTTCGTCGGGTAGTGGTGTCTTAAGAAATCTTTCTAAAGTGTTTATAATATCTTTCGGAGAGAGGCCAACAGACACAGCAGCATACAAGCTATGCATAGTGAGGGCGTACTCGTGCATAAAGGTCGGTCGGGACAACGGTTCGGCAATGGTAATGAGGAAATCTTGCGCCTGCTCTGCGAGAGGGCTGAAGCTTTCGAGAATGATGCGGCCCTTTTTAGGATCAATCCATAACGGCCTATTCCGATGGTCCTTTTTCAGGACTAGATAGGAGTAGTCATTGTCACCAAAAATGTGCGGCATCGGGTCTTTAATGTCGTGCCGCTTTTGGTATTGATTTAGTGAGAAACGATCTATATTTTTGTCGATGTCGCGCTCGAGTACTTCATCGACGGGCGCGTCGTCCTCCTCGACTTCATCGTTACTACCGATGCTTCGAGGTGTGGCAGCACCCGGCGTGCTCATGCGCGATGCCCGTCCAGCCTTTGTGCCCCCTTGCACGTTGCTGCTGGCTTTCCGCTTGGGAGGCATGGCTGCGAAGAAATATGCGGTTCAGGCAGGCGGCGCAGCAGCCGGCGAGTAAATGTGCGTTGATAATGAGATGTTCGCGCTGCTGCTATGTTTGCGGATGTGAAGATTGCAAAAGACAAGTATGTATTGATTCCGTGGTGAGGTGTGATGCGTGAAGATGGACCGCCAGCCTTGAGTTACTGGCGAAGTCGCTGGTTTTATCTTATTTTTAAGCCTTGGTGGCGGAGGTAGCCTTTCGGGGCTTTCAGCCTCCTCCGTATATGCGTATATGGCGTAGAATGATCGAATCATAGCAAAATCGCTGACTAAAGCGCCCTGCGTGCACATCAACGTGGGGGTGGTGCCTGGCCACCCCTCCAACTGCGCATCAGCATACCGACAATAATTCCCCTTTTGTATATGGCATTTCGCCAGTGCAGAGGCCTCGACAGTCATGTGGTGGGGAAAGACCTATTTACTTGACTACATCTCCAGTTCTAACTAGGTAACAGCAAACACATTCTCAACGCGCAGGTTGCGATCCGATCACCATGCTGTATGAGCTACCACCACTCAGCCCCTAATCCCGACTCCGACGCTTTTCCACAAGACTGACCGTTTCTCCTGCTTCACCTAGGCCGCAAATGGTTTGACTGTGCAGAGTGCCATGCCGAGCAAGAGCAACACCCACTTGTCCAATCATTCGACATGACCTTTGCCTGCAAAAAGTGCAAAAAATGCTTTCGCAAAGATACACACGAGTTCGACGAAAGCGATGAATACTGCCCACACTGCGATAACCACTTCGTCATCGAGGCCAAGATTGCCAAACCGGCGCTCACTATAGAAGGCGATGATACTCGCATGAATAATAAGCTTCTCAAGGACGACAGAGCGCGAGGGAAACCTCTCCTGCGATCGATGTTTGATCCAGACGATGACGCCGATAAACTGGGCTAGATGCCATCAATACATATGAGTTTTGCGCTCGACTTCAACCTGCAGCAACGTCGATACCCGAACTCTGGAACAAATGCTGGTCTGGGGGAGCGCTGTTTGTACGGTGGCGTTTGTTACTGAAGCATTATTTAAAAAGTTTGGTGCAAAGAGAAGGCAATACAATGGAATGTTCATACAGTGGCTTTCTTTCATCGCAGATAAGTAGCTGTTCGAGACCTGCCTAATCACGGGTTTCGTTTATTTCTCTAATTACTCGGCGGCCGAGTCGTCCTGTCCCCTCGTGGGAATAGCAGTGCCACTGATGGCAGGCGTGCGACCAGTCTTCTTCTTGGCGGCTTCCTCCTGCTTTTCCTGCTCAATCTCCTTGACGTAGCGCTCAATTTCTTCCGTGGGAAGCATTTCGATAGTAGCTCCCGGAGCCATGAGAGCAATTTCGATATTCTTGGCTCCTGTTTGCACAACTTCCAGTAGAGACTTGATGGCTAGGCGGATAGTAGCCTCCCGGTCCATATCCTCCTTGTAGTTGCGTTCCAGGAACTCGCGGACAGTCTTGCTGGAGCGGCCGATGGCATTAGCTTTCCAAGCAGAGTAGATGCCCGACGGCTCGGTCTGATAGAGGCGCGGGACCTTGCTGTTCTTATCGAAACCAACGACCATAGTGCTAATGCCGAAAGGACGGACACCGCCGGCCTGAGTGTACCGTTGTTGCACGCCAGCAACGTATTTTGTGATGTATTCGATAGTGGCGGGGTCTTCAACGGTCAGTCTGTGCGACTGCGCCTCCAGACGCGCCTTGTCGACCAGGATTCGGGCGTCGGCGTTGAGGCCAGCGAAGGCAAGGGCGACGTGGTTATCGAGAACTTGGATCTTGGAGGGGGTAATTCGGGTATCTTGAAGTTTCATAGCCGAGCGCTTCTCGCAGCCAAGAACAACGACATCCTGACCTTTGACACCAACGGCGCAGGTTCCTGTACAAAGAATTGATGAGCATGAATATGGAACAACCCAAACGGCGCGCGATTGCGCCAATGCAAGCGCTTACCTCGCTTCACAGCTTCACCAGCATATTCGACCTGGAAGACGTGTCCATCGGGACTGGAATCAACATTAGTATGCGGCACAATTTGGCGAATGTCGGAGGTCGGCCATCATTACCTAAACACTATTTTGAAAGTCAGCTATTGGCACGCAAGGTGAGGAAAGGTGTTGGCGGTGATCTCAGGTAACGTACCGGACAGAGCTCTGTCATAACCTGAAGCCATTGTGTCTGTGGTTGATTTGTTCGGTCTATGGCTTCGATGCAAGTTGCGCGCAAAGGACTAAAGCTCGTGCGTGACGGATTCGAAAGATGAGCGATGGCAGACCTATGTTGCGCGAGGATGGGAGCAGGCACAGGGAATGATGCATAGGTAGGTAGGTAGCTTGCTGGTGGAGCTTCGTCAGAGTGGCAGCCTACCTGGACAAGCTGGGGCGGTTGGACGGTTGCTGACCTAATGATCCCGCGAGGCGCTCATTTAGCCGAGGTTTGTCCACCAAGGGTTCATTCACCATGACGACTTTGCAAGAATTTGGTATGTCTGGACAAGTCATCTTCATCATTGCGTGTGTTTCAAATGCTATTTTAATTGATAGCTGGCATCGCTATGTGGACGTGGTGCACCAAAATGGCAACCATCAAAAGTGCTCCCAGAACAGCACGTCCAAGCACAGCATTCCTATCTTGACATCCTACAATGCAGTTGCAATACCAATATGCCATCTAATGCAAACACTCAAGCCCTGTCTGCTTTGTATGCCAATATACGGGGACATATCTAAAAACTAACTCGCATCAAGGAGCGCTGGAGAAGCCAGCCGTCTTGTTAGAAAGTTTGAGGATTACTGGGGACGACGCTGAGGGAGCTTTCGGTCTTGATGACGAGGCACTGAATGCGATTTAGTATCACCTCCCTTCCGGCGAGATGCAGATTTCTCCATCGCACTCTCGGATAGACAAGATCTAGCAATGAAACAGCGAGGATTCATCTGCCAACAGCAAAGGTCAATCCAGCCTAGGAACAAGTATTTTGACCCGCGGCTACATGTCTCCTCTACTCGTTGATCCTAAACTCAGTCCTCAACCTTACCCTTGGAGGAGGAGAAAGAGGATATGAAGAAGTCTTGTGGATGAAAAGAGGGGGGCAAAGGAGACAGGAAAACTCGAAGCCTCAATATGTAGTATGTAGTCAAGCTCGTGACCGCTGGTGCTACGTCGTCAGCGGCAACCTGGTGCAAACGGCACTTCTGCACGGCATCAGCTTTTTCTTAGCCCTTACCCTACTGCCCACTCTACTGCCATTTGGATCATACCGGAGCCGTGGAGTCCGTGCTTTGGTCAGTGTGCGGCTCTGGATGAGTCTGATCAGAGCCGTGTTGATTATAAAATTCAGGCATATGCATGTAATCAAAGTATTGCAATGTGTTAAATTTCAGTCTCGATACTAAGCTAATGCATGGCATTGCTATCCCATTTTTCATTGTGATAACCCTTGAGCGACATAGAGCAAAGTCATTTTCTCTCTAACCCCGAATAGAAGCAAATCCTCTGATAGATGGCCATGGGTCTTCTCGACGATAGGCCATTCCAGGAGTAGACAGGGTAGAATCAGAGACGAAACCAAGGAAGCGCAACAGCATCGCTGCGCACGATCACCTTGATTTCGATGTCGTCGAGACGGTAGATTCTACCCCTAGGATGGTCGCCGCTCGTGAACGGGATACAACCATTTTTTGCCTTGAGGGCGGTTTTGAGGAGAGCCGAGTCAAGTCGCTTCCGATGAAGTACGGCGAGGACCTATTATAATGTTAGACCAGGGTGTGCTCAGTGTGAGTGTGTGACGAACCTCGTCAGGGTTACCCCCCTCAAGGTGGGTGCCTTCCTGAGCGGTCGGGCCATCGTGGCCGACAGGGGCGGACGGGCTAGGAACAGATAGGGAAAGGGCTTCTTAATGAGCTAGTTCAACAAGATCTTGGAAGTATATTTCATGAGAAATCACTCCACTGCTATGAGTTTACTTTCATGCAATCGCTTGGGCTTTTGGTGTCACAATCATCAGTACAGATTAGTCAGTCTCTCATTTCTACATCATCATTTGCACATAGTTCATATGTTAACCACTGTCAAGTAGAATAGCACCACCCAATGTGATTTCTGAACGCCACCGTAGTTCTTGTTGACATCCAGCAGCGTAGTTGCTACAACGGTTGCATCCATCAAGAAGAGAGAGGACGCTATTCGAATACTAGTGAATCCATGATAGAAGTTTGGCGCTCTTTCTGCTCAAGGCAGTGACATTAAGACTATCAGCCTAAGACTAAGGCGAGTCTCCATTTGATCATACGCCCTTGCTAGGGCTCGAAAGCAACAGAACGTAGATCCAGAGAGCCAACCTGCGCGATTACCTCACTGGATATGCTGACTAATTCCGCGTTGTTGACATGCATCAGTAAAGCGGTGGAGGAGAACCTGCGTAAAGAAAGCCGACAAACAAACAAAATTGCTCCATCCGTGATTCACTTGAGGAGCTTGCCAGAACCGAACCGAACCGTCACAAAAATTGCCGCTCATGAAATCAAGGAAACATGACGTCTCCGTGAAGAGTTACCGATTCAACTTGATTCACTACTATTTACTTAATTGTAGGCTGCACACCTGGTGCTCCTTCCGAGACACGACATATATCGGCGCCCAAAGATGCACGCAAGTCAGCTGTGATAGGACCGTTTGACCGCTATCACATACGCCATGTTTGAGGGCCACCCCCCATGACTCACAAGCGATCACGGCGATAGGACAGCATGTTAAAAATTCGGAGAACGAACATGTTCCCCTCTCTCTTCTGGGGTGGGAGGATTTCAGCCTGATGTTGGGAACACGATTGCGCTGTGTCCTACTTGGGGCAATGTGTTGCCATTGGCCAGTGGTAGCGTACTCCCAACCAATTAATGCTATATCAACTTGCATATAGTTCCTCGAGCTCAGATGTGCTTTTTGTAACATGAAAGCATCGGACTCTTAGGGCCGACGCACTAGCGAAGCACGCTCGAGATATGCACCCGAACAAGTCAGAGCCCGTTGGGCGACGCATGAGCGTGTTCGCGAGATCCCTCGATATCATCTCTCAAAGATGTTTGACCGTTTATATTAGCGCTCGCAAATTGAAAAGTTCCGCCAGCCATCGGTCTCGGGCGAGAAACCCGCCGACCGCGAATGGCATCGCCGCGATGGTGTCGGCGCTCAGCAAGACGCCAAACCACCTCAGCGCCATCTTCGATGTAGGCGTCTCGACGGACGACATGAATTTGGAAAAAGTTATACAGCAGGCTGCTGAGCTTGCCGCTTGGTCTGTTGCGGCAGGAATACCTACCATTTCAATCTACGATGCGCGCGGTGAATTACCATTTCCCACCGAGAAAAAAAAAAAAAAGGTTCTTCTGACTGATGATGACTATAGGGCATCTGAAAAGTCACGCGAATAGACTCCAGGTTTTTGCCAGTCTACGATGCAAGAGTCTTGTCCCAGAGCAACCGCATCAGATAGCAGTCTACCTGAATGGGAGACGGTTGCTGGAAGATGATGACACTAACCCTGACGGCGAGCAACCCGGCCATTCTCTGTACCTAATATCCGAGAATGACGGACAAAGAGCGTTACGAAGTATTACAGAGGCTCTGACTGAGAGGGTCAAGCACGGAGACATGACTATTGACGACATCTCGGTCGACCTCGTCGCCGAGCAGCTGCATTTGTTAGTCATGCCCGCGCCCGACCTCATCGTCGTGTTTGGCTCAGAGCTGAACCTCTCTGGCTACCCACTGTGGCATCTTCAACAGGCAGAGTTGGAAACGCTCTATAATGAAGACGAGTTTGGGTTCTTGGCGTTTGCGCATGCGCTGCAAAGCTATGCAGGGGCCGAAATGCGGTACGGCAAATAATGCCATTACTTGAGATGACGAGGTTCGCATCCTGACGTGTTTTCAGTAAAGTGACGTATTATTTATTGTTGTATGCAGTTAGTAGTCTGTTGCACTTTGAAGAGAATGGCTGTGCTAAAGACTTGTAATGTGTTTGGGAGTGAGCCTGTCAGCCTCACGAGGGCATCAAGACAGCAACGCAAGCCAGTAAAAAGCATCAGTGGCGTACTGTTATGCATCAATCCCTGCACAATGTACGATAATGGAGTCTCCGGGTGGCAATTGTCTTTTCTAATGAATTTTTTCAAGTCTATAACGAGATATCGAATATCTTCCCATATAAGAGGGCGCCCATGATCGAATACCATATGCGGCGGGTCCCCACGAGGTACGAGCCGAGCCGAGGGTTCGCGACAGGGGATGGCCGAGTGACGCAGAAAAGCGTGCTTATGTACGGGTGGGCAGTGAGCCAAGCAAAAGACAGAACTAGGCAGATTTACTAAATATAGTCAGGGGGCCGATGATAATCATTAGCGCTGATCTCTTGACGTGAGCACCTGGCCATGTAACATGACAAGACTTGGGGCTCGTAGGGTGCCTTGAGTGTCAAAGTGTTGACAATTAAATATCAACCGAGTCCAGGTACAAGACAGTCTCTCTGTAAAATATCTCCAAAGCACACACTCCTCTTCATTCTTCAAGTATTCTTAATATTGGTTATGCATTCTCTCAAGATCTATATTTGCTTGGCCATTTCCAAGTCAATGGCCGCTGCCTTGCCTTTAGCCTTGCCCTTTCGCGGCGACTTGATATCCCAAAGCCCTCAACACCATCTTGAGAATCCAGTTTCCGATGCCATCTATATAGAACAAGGGGACTCTGCTCATCACAGCGCGACCAATGAGACCCCGGACGACCCCCCTGCAGGCCAAGATCCCGATAAAGACGACGGCGACAACGACGACGATGATGACGACGAGGATCTCATTCCAGGGGACCTTCTCGAAGGCGACAGCGACTCAGGCGGTGAAAGCGACATTGGCAACGACGCCGTGTCCGTGGCCAACGGACTCCTCGGCAGCGGCGGCGCCGGCAGCGCGGCTCTCAACAACCAGACGTCAGGCTCGACAGCCGTCTTCTGCAGCCTGTTTGCGTGTGCCTCTGCCGCGCAGTCTGACGGCAAAGTCAGCACCAGCGCTTCTTCTGGGCCCAGGACGATAACGGCCAGTGGTCCTCTTGTCAGCGTAAAGGGACCACTGGTCGTCATCAACGTGTCGCGCACGTCGTCTGTTCGCAAAACTTTGAGCTGACAGGGAGGAGGGAAAGAGAGATGTGGGAATGGAATAAACGCCTAGGTGGCTTGGGAAGGATTACTTGTATACCAGACCAAGGCTTATTGTTGTTTTTTACGAGATGTCGCTGCAGCCAAGCGAGCCAGTCAGGCTCCTTTTACAAGAGGCGGTCGATAATTATGTAAAGAAACAAGACGGTAGGTGGTAGTAAATGGTGAAAGTTTTGGTGCTGGACTTGAAACCAACATGATTCTTTTTGTTCATTGTTGTACTTTAATCAGATTACCCTCAAAATAGTCAACATCCACACGACGCAGCAGACACAACGCTTGGCACAGACTTGAGGCGCACAATTGTCACAAACAAGTACCTGAATAGGAGTAGAAATTTCACCATCTTTAATTGTCTAGCAATTTAAATTGATAAGAGTTGAAAAGTAGTTTCCAGCTACTTGACTTGTACGGTTACAGCGCCGGCCAAGTCCCGCTATGCATCAATGCCCTACACGACCCGGATCCAGCGGGTGTATACATTTGCATGTAGATTTCTTTCTTTTTTTTTTGTCTTCAACCCCCAGTATTATAACAATATTTATAAGTCGCTGTACTTTTTCTTTTCCAAAAAAAAAAAAAATAAAAAGCAAATCGGGGGAGGCGGGGGCGGGGGCGAGTCTTCGTCGAGGAGAGCGTCAATATTGCGCAGTTTCATTCCAAAGTTGTCGCTGCAGGTTATTTGCGACGCCTTGACCCTTTGCAATCAGTCGAGTCCTAAAGAGCTCCAACTCAATAGTCTCAAAGACACCTTCCTGCGAAGTCATGCTGTCGAAACCACCATCGTGAGAGGCCATCTGGAGGTCGCGATAAAAGTCGAGGGCAACCGTCATGGGCGCAACGAGCAAGTCTGGCTGCAAAGTGCGCTGCAGCGCAGAGTCGAGTCCGCGGCGAATCTTGGTTGCCATTTCACGGCCATCGTGGTACTGCGCCGGGTCGACTCGCAAGTTGTTTGGCAGCGCAAGCCAGACGCCGGTATAAGGGTCTAGCACCGGCTGGTCAATCACGGCACATAGATCCAAAATGCAACGGTGAAAGATGATTTGCGACATCCAATAGTAGAGCATCGTAAAGGCCGTCAGCTCGTCGTGAAACTCGTACACGTTGTTGAAAGCCGCTGCATTCTCGACGGCCTGGAAGCTCTCCGCGCTGCCCATGGATTGGCTCAGCCAAACGGCAAATTGCCGCTCAAGCATCAGACAGGTTTGTAAAAGCCCCTCTGCCTTGTAGCGGCGCTCGACGGAGGGTGTCTGAGGTATCAAGCTGTCCGTCTGCGCAAAAGCCAGAGGCAGCTGCAGCATGATATCAAACAGCGAATCGAGAGAGGACTTGCGGTGATTCTTCCACGGCAATGAAATCCACTCCGGGTCCGACAGAAATGTCTCGCGGCGGTTCAACAAGGCCAAGCACACGCCAATCGGACGGTATACGCGAACGAAAAACTGGTGGTTCGGAAAGGACGTAAAGTTCAAGGGTCCCAGCCGCTTGACCATGGATTCCGAAGCAATTCCCCAGTTTGAATTGGGCGAGACCTGCTGCAGCTACAGTTAGTCTGGGTTACTTGTAACGTCACACACGTCTTCTCTTCCAGTATCACGGACCTCGAATAAGAAGAGGCAATAGCTCTCGACGGACTGAGAGCCACCTTGGATTCCGTGGTGGCATAGCAGGCACTGAGCGCTGACCCAGAGCGGCGAATCCTGTCCGGCAATGTGTCCATTGTGGTTGCGGTGTAACTCGACCGGCGAGTAGGGCGGGAGGGCAACACCAAATCCATTGCCGTCGGGAGTCGAGCCAGAGGACCGGACTATAGTATGCAGGCTCGTGTGGAGCGCGGCAATGTTCTTGCCACCGTGAGAGAGGTCCAGGTTGTCGTCCCAGGCCGAGTTATTCAGCGTCTGAGGAAACTTGGGCGAATGGGATCCGGAGCGCTCTCGCTTGGGCTGTGGAGATTTCGAGTGCGCCTTGGTCGACGTCACTCGCTTTGGATGCGAGGCCACGCGACCATGATCCTCGGGCGTGCCCGTGATGAAGACTCTCTCGCGCTCGTAGCCTTCGCATTCCCGGCCGCTGGCGATGCACTTGCGGCAATACGGACGCTCATTGGTGCACTACACGGCTGCATTAGCTCTGCGACTGGGGGTTATAGTTGCCGCCGAGACTCGTCGTTTCTTCTTTGTCTTCTTCTCCTTCTTCTTCTTCTTCTCTCTTCTTTCTTCTTCTTCTTCTTCTTGAGCGTGATTGGGCTCTGCAACAGGAATCAATCATCTTACCGTGACGCGGCGGCGGCGACAGGTCTCGCAGCCCTTATACTTTCCCGGGACGCCAACCATGGCGAGTCAGTTGTTGCGATTTCGTATGCAGGTGATTCGCCACAAGGGAAAGGGTTCACAACGAACTACTCCTTTGTAGGATGGGGTACTTTTTCCAGCTGGTCAAGGGTTCAAGCGAGAATGAAGGTCTAGGAATTTGCCACCGGCCGATGCGGACTATATATGTACGAAGCCGGCGGCCACCCAAGGTTGTGAAGGGCCTCCCAGGAGAGAGAGAGGAGGGTAACTGCACCGGCAGCTAGGACCTATATACGGACTCCACCAGAAAATGTAAGCCATGATGCTGGTTCAAGTGCCATGACGATTGCCAATTGGGCAGCGCAAGCGTGAGCTTTGTTTCTGTGTTCCTCCACACGCCCCTCCTCCTCCTTGAACCCCCCCCCCCCTCTCTTCACTCTCTCAACTCCCTGTGCGCCGCCGGCATGCCCGTTGAACCACACCCAGCCAGGTCAGAAGCCAGGGTCAGGGCCGGGCAGCCGGGAGGTGGGAACTTTGGGGACCAGCAAGGCGTGGGCAAAGGGCAAGGCGGCGTCCTCGCGAAGCCACCAGCAGAAACAAAGTCCGGCCCCAGCGTTGCGGGCCAGATAGGAGAGAGAGAGAGGGAAAAGCCACGTTGGGGGGGAGGGGAGGGTAGGAGGAGGATCTGCTCTCTGTGACTGGACGCCGGTCCATCCCAGCACGCCTCGTGTTGCCGGGATCATGGCACCGGACAGTTATGGGGCCTAGGGGAGCATGACGTGGGCTCGCAGGTTTCGTAGGGCTGATGCTCACTCCCCCC